CACTGTGAGTAAATATTTCTGCAGACAGGGAAGTACTCCTGTCCTTGTGGAAGGTATGGGTAAGACCATGCCAGGAACACTTGGAACAGCTCTGTTCATGGAAGTGCGCTCATATCAACAGGGAGCAACATTGGTCCAAGGACATATCAGTGAAAGGAAGGCGGAAATGGAGAGGACAAGATGAGCTAGTTTTATGCCTGTCTTGTTCTATAATAGGTTGCTAATGAATTGAGAAGGACAAAACTCAACCAGTTCTGAGGTGTGTCTCTGGATTGCTTCAGTAGCAAGGATGGTCCTGGAAGCTTTATAGTGCTGTGGCTTGTTGGCTCATGCCTTAGAAACTACAGTTTAATGTTGAAGTATAATGTTTTACTTTGGCAGGAAGCAGAGGGACATCCCAGACGTGTTTCTGTTTCTGCTCTTCAGATCTTGTTCAGTGCACTGGCAGCTGTAGGCAGCTTTGCAGCAGTGACTTCTTTCCAATTCTGTTTACTTTCTGATGGAAAAAAAAGAAAAGAAAGAAAGAAAGAAAGAATCACATGGATAATAAAAATGACTAAACACGTAAATATTAACAGTGAAGAGTAACTGACCCTGACCCCATGAATCTGATTGGATTTGTTGAGCAAAGTGCTCACCATCCTGTTCCTATTAGTTGATGGTGAACAGAAATGAGGATAAATGGACTGGAGACTTGCAGGCTTTGTAAAGTCTTTTGTAAACATATATTATATTAGAAAAGATATATGTTGATGCATGAAGGTAGTTAAATAATACTTTAAGGTTGACTTGGAGCAACTTTTTGTAGATAAATTGTGCTAAACAAGTAGCTGGTGTGTTTGTTCCATATAGATATGCTGGGGCTGTATATCGGCATCGATACTGCAAAACATTTTGGGAATGTTACAATTAAATTCATTTAAAATGAGAACCATACTGTTGACTATTGATAGGGGGTAAAGAAAGATGAACAAGATGTTTCTGGTGTGGTATTTTGTATTTGCCTTTGGGAAAGGCAAAATTCCCATAGCAAGAGCATCAGGGGTGCTGTAGCCAGTGGTCCAGCAGCTCTTCCCACAGAGTGCATCATTACTCAGAAGTGCAAAATTTACTGTGCTGTAAGCAGTACCATTGAAATGATCCGTTTATGAAAGTGGATATGCCTTTGAACAAGCTTGAACAGCAGCAATAAGCAAAGGGAGAGAAGAGATGAACATGAATAGATTGGATAATATCTGGAATAACTGGTCTGTTGCTTCGGGGCACTATTAAGAAGTGATTTGTGGAGGCTGATTTACTTACTGCACCAGCAAGTGGCCTTTTAACGTAGAGGTGATGGAACAGAAAATCTTCCCAGAAAATCTTCAAGGATTGTGGGTGACTGGAAGAGAAAACAGTTCTCTGCAGGATTCTATTATTCCTTTCTGAATTGAATTTTTGCTTTGCACTCATCGCCTATGAAGTGATTGCTGTTTATTTGATTACTCTGTTTTGAAGTGGCCAATTTCTGCGTCATATTCCTACTTCAGCTTCTGTTGCTGCCCTCAGGGCTCTTCGGCAAGATGAGTTTTCCTGTTAAATCAGGGTTGCTTGAAAAGTAAAAATTATTCATTGGAACAACTTTTTCAATATATAAAATTGTGCCAACTAGAGTTTATCTTCTGTTGTTAAATTTGGCTTTCTTAATACTCTACATAAATAGAATTAAATTGTTAAAATTGTCAACCTTATCAACAGTCAGTAATTACAAGGAAACTCAAGGGAAATACTGAAAAGGAATGAAGACAACAAAGCTGGAGGTGGAGTTGAAATGTCTCTACACCAATGTATGCAGCTTGGGAAACAAACAGGAGGAGCTGGAAGCCACTGTGCTACTAGAAAACCATGCCATTATTGCTATCACTGAAATCTGGTGGGATGATTCCCATTACTAGGGTGTGGTTTTCAATGGCTACAAGCTGTTCAGAATGGATGGGAAAGGAAGGAGCAGAGGGGGAGGGAGCTTTGCCCTCTACATCGGGAAAAAGTAGAATGTGAAGAGCTGTTGAAAGGATGGCCACGAGCAAGTCAAAAGCCTATGGGTGAGAATTAGAGACAGAGGCAACAAAGGGAACTGCTGACCTGTCAGCCCCACCTCTTTGCTGGGATTGTGGAACAGATCCTCCTGGAAGCTGTGCTAAGGCACGTGAAAGAGAAGGAGGTGACATGAGAGAGCCAGCGTGGCTTCACCAAGGGCAAGTCATGCCTGACCAACCTTGTTGCTATTTATGATGGCTTAACTGTGTCAGTGGACAAGGGGAGAACCACTGATGCCATCTATCTGGACTTCAGTAAGGCCTTTGACACAGTCCCCCACATCATCTTTCTAGATTGGAAAGATGTGGATTCGATGGGTGGACTGTTTGATGGATGAGGAATTGATTGCAAGATGGTACCCAGAAAGGGATGGTCAATGATCAGTGTCCAGATGGAGATCTGTGATGAGTGATGTCCTTCAGGAGTCAGTTCTGAGACCGATGCTCTTTAATATATTCTTCAGTGATATAGACAGGGGGATTGAGTGTACCTTCAGCAAGTTTGTAGGTGACACCAAGTTGTGTGGTACCACCAATATGCTTAAGGGATGGAATGCCATTCAGAGAGACCTAGACAGGTGCAAACAGTGGGTCCAGGTGAATCTCTTTAGTGAAGTTTAGTGATGCCAAGTGCAAGATCTTGCACCTTGGTCATGGCAACTCCCGCTACTGATACAAGCTGGGGAGTAAAAGGATTGAGCACAGCCCTGACATGGGGCTACTGATGGCTGGGGCTCTGGACATGAGCAGCCAGCAATTTGCCTTCACAGGCCAGAAAGCCAACTGTGTCTTGGGCTGCATCAAAAGAAGTGTGGCCAACAGGACAAGGGAGGTGATCCTGCCCCTCTACTCTGCTCTGATGGGGCTTCGCCTGGAGTACTGCATCCAGATGTAGAGTCCTCAGTACAGGAGAGATGTGGACCTGTTGGAATGCAACCAGAGGATGGCCACAAAAATGATCAAAAGGATGGAACGCATCCCCTATAAGGACATGCTGAGAGAGCTGGGGCTGTTCAGCCTGCAGAGGAGAAGGCTCTGGGGAGACCTGAGAGCAGCCTTTCAGTATCTAAAGGGGGTTATAAGAAAGAAGGGGATAGACTCTTTGGCGGGGTCTGTTGTGATAAGACAAGGGAAAATAGTTTCAAACTAAAGGGGAGGAGATTCAGATTGGATACAAGGAAAAACTTTTTTACAGTGAGATTGGTGAGGCACTGGAACAGGTTGCCCTGTGGTGTGAGAGGTGGTGGATGCCCCGTCCCTGGCATCTTCAAGGTCAGGCTGAATGGAGCTCTGAGCAGCCTGACTGAGCTGTAGGTGTCTCTGTTCATTGGAGGAGAGCTGGACCAGATGACCTTTAAAGACCTCTTCCAACTCAAACAATTTCTGTGACTGTACAATTCCGTAATTACAGCAGTGTTCCACTGCCCACTCCAGCACACTGACGCCCCACATGGTGCAGATCAGAGGAGGAGACCGAGAGTTCAGTCCTGCTCCCATCTGAACATATTGCAAATTTCAGCTAACCTTAAGAAGTCAGAGGAGGCTCTTAGGAGGCAGTGATAAAAAGGATTTGTATTAGAGATATTTTCCCTCTGCTACAGGGAGGGGTATATCAGCTGCTCGTGGAATTGAGCGCTCATGGTTGCACGGTTATCTACATCTCTGAAACGGTTGTTGAAATTGATAGGTTGTTTTCTGTTAAGTTTCAGCACTGTTAGAGGATAGCTAGAAAGGAGAGCTAGAAAAATATCTGAGTTTGGAGTCTTTTTTTTTTTTTTTTTTTTTCAGAGCCAGAGGGAAAGTGATTGCATTGTCTGATGTGAGGAAACGTGAAAGACTTCAGGAAACACTCTGTTACCAATCGCTTTCCCTGCAGTTCTCCTGTTAAACAGATTTTCTGTTCCAAAATGCCAAAAATCACTTTGCGGATAATGCCTCCCATATGGTACAACTGATTTGCAGGCACTTTATTGTCTTCAAACCATTATGGTCCAGATAGAAAGTCAGTATCTGCTCTGCTGATAACTCAATAAAATCTGCTCAGCCCCTAGCAGACCAGCCAGGACTCCAAGGATGCTTTGAATAATTGAATCCCAAGGTCTATCAGATCGGCCTGAGGGAGGTGGAGAGCTTTGAGGTGGTTTTTGATGCCTTTTTCTTTTTTCCTTGAGAATTTCAAGTATGTTTTTCAGAAGAAAATTTCCTGTATTTGTATAATAAAGACTTGGATCATAATTAGTTTCTAATAGCTGTTAGCATCCTAAAGAATTGCTTGTGTATAAGCAGAACAGTGGAGAAAGACACAGAAAGGACAATTATTCTTTATAAGAACAAGTGTGCAGATATTGCAAAGTTCTTGTGAAGAAGGTTAATTGTACGTGCGGCCAATATGAGCATAAGCAGAAGTCCCTAACTTCTAATTGCTGTGTCATATTACTGTGTTTGTGCTTCAGATATCAAACAGCAGTTCTCTTTTCAGATGTGTAAATAGTAACTCTCCCTTATGTTTTAAGAAGTATCATTGTAGTACTGTAGTTATTTAATACAATCTTTGAAAATATTTCTGTTTTGCTTCATTTTGAGAAGTCACAACTACCACTGAGCGCTTGGGTCCTCTGACTGTTTCTGTGAATCATTCTTTGGATAATAATCTCCCTTTTTTATAAAGCAGGTTAATTTTTAATTTTCATAATCAACAAAATCATCAGACACAACAGCAGCTAGCAAAATCAGTTTCTTTATTTATCTGTACTGTCAGAAGTTTGAGTTGTTCAAGGGTAACCAAGTATTATTGTAAATACAAGCTATTGCATGGGTTAATTATATTTTTAATAATATTTTTAGCACAGCATAGTAGATCTCTAGCTGTTTACGTGAAGCTGCAGCCATGTGTGTTGTTTCTCTTGCTGCTTCCTTGTTAGCATATTGCAGTTCCAATATACTGAACTGTTTTTTTGGCTGTGACATGTACTCATGCATATTCATATGGTATTTCGCCAACAAAAGTGGTGACCCACTCCTGTCAGCTGGGTTTTGGATGGAGAGCAGTGTCCAGATAATGGCATAGTAGCATTCAGTAGTAGAGTTCAGTCCCATGAGGAATCGTGGATCCTTGGGAGAGTCAGCTGTGGGATGTGACAGTGGGATGCTGGATGTTGTATCAACCTTCTGATTCTGTGGCTGATAGCTGCCTTCAGGGGCATTTTGAGAGGACGGGTCAAAGCATTCCTGATCAAAAAAACATAAAAACAAAAGGGAATACCTCCCTCAGAGGCTCAAGCATTAAAACCCAAATGAGGGCTCGCAAGGGACTGCAGATGCTGCATGAAGTTGTGGTGATGCTGCAGGAGGTTCTGCGAGAAGTCTCATCCAGAGCTGACCCTGGCCATCAGTGAGAGGCGGTGTGCAGGGGCTTGGATGAAGGCTTTCTGCATAAGTGGGTGGTTTGGGACAGTTGCCTGGCCCTGGCCTTGCCCTCTTCATTTTTTGGATCTTAAGTTCACATTGCTCTGAGAAAGATGGAGTTTCTTAAACAACTTTCAAAAAAGTGGTGGATTCATCAGCAGGACAGACTGAAGGTGTTAATGGGTATGGATAGCATCTAAATTTGAGCTTGTTTTAAAGAAAAGGACTATTTTAAGATGATTTTACAACTGATTTAGATTTCATTGTACCTAATAGTTGTTCAAGCAATGCCAGAGATTATAACTTCAGTTTGCAGAAATTCACATTAGCTTTAGTGGAATAAATGGGTTGTGAACAATCGGTTTGTAATGGAGCAGTTCTTCTTCCAGCTGAGAACAAATACTGTTGAACAGCTGTGTGCAGGTTCAGCTTTCCAGCACAGAAAGCTGGAAGGGAGTGGGGCAGTCTCAAGATTTCGACTCAGCGTGATGCTGACTGAATGCAGATGGCTTAAGTGGTTCCTGTCTTCAGTTCTGTGCTTTGCCTGTGTCTTGAAGGCTGCTGCTATTCCTCCAGCAGTGCTGACTGAATGACGCATGAAATGTGTGTTTACATTTATTAGCCAAACTGTAGAAGTGTGTTTGGGAGCGGATTCACATCAGGCACCACTTGTAGCTGCTGCAGTTCTTGTGGCTGGGTAGTAAGAGTGCATCATTGCTGGGCTGCTGAGTGCATCTGAAGAGTGGGAGTAGTGAAAATGGCTGGAATTCGAAATGGGTTGTAGGTAGTGAGGTTGTATTTACTTGAGCTTTCCATATTGAAATGTTGTTACATTCATCAGGTGAGAGAAAAGCATTCCTGGAACTGTAAGGGCATTCAGAAATGGAGGGAGGTCTCGTGGCTATTCCTGGCCTTTGTTTACATGTGAAAATGTTCATCTTGGGCACAGATGCACTTGCTTACAGTTGGGGCATCATTGATACCAGGCTGGAGCAAAGGGTGGATTTTGAGAGCAACAGTGTGAATCACCGAAAGAAGAAAAATGCATCAACATAGAAGAAGCAGAAAAAGTTAAGTGTATAGAATAGGTAGAGTAACTTTATGTTTGGGATTAGCTCTGGGTCTGTAGACTGTGAAATACTGACACCAGCATGGCAAACACTTGCAACAAGTGCTGTTGGCATGATTTCGCAATTCTGCAGAGGCCCGGAGAGGAGCACGTTAATCCTGTTGCCACACACAGAGCAGTCTTGTTGGAAATCAGTGTCACTAAGAGTTGGCTTTCCCAGCATGTCAGGAGCCTGTGGTTGTTTCTTCCTCATCTATTGCAGAAGTGCAAATATTGCTGGTTCAGCCACAGCAGGATGAATGCAGGGGGCAGTCAGTGAGGTGCTGCTTCAGAGCAGCTAAGTGCTTCTCAGAGAGAGGATTTCATTATGGAGCATTAGGTAATAGGAAGGTTGCCTTTCAGGACTGGGCTCCAGAACATGCAGTATCTCCATGCCATCTCTGAGGAAAAGTCTGCTGGGTGCGGAGGAATTCAGCATTCCAAGTGACGCTGCAGGCAGTAGGAACTGAAGGGGGATGGGTTCAGGTGCTGGTTGGTCACAGAAGGCATCTAAAATATTTTCTGTTATTTGATGATGGCCATATGGCTGCTGTGGTCTTTGCAAAAACATTGGCTGAATGAAAGGGGGGATTTCTGTGGCTGTAACAAGGATGGAGCAGGATCAGTCATCAGCATCCAGTTCCAGGCACTGATGTGTGTCACAAAAGACACATCAGTGATGAAGACGGTGATGAAGAGCTGTGTTCTCTGGCATGGAAGGGTTCATGGACATCCACAGGGCTCCGTGCATCATCCAGAAAGCAGCTGGGCACTGTTTTGGAGCAGGTTAAGACTTACTCACTGGAATATCAGGAGGTTTGGACCATAGCATAATTTCCTGTAAATGAGCCTTTTGCTTGATTTGAGATTGCTGCACGCAGGTCGGTGGATAAAGTCAGCATCTGAAGTGTCAGACAGCTCTGTGTGCCATCCTGGCGTACCCCAGCTGGGATCAACTGGGAACAATGGATGGGGTTCATGAAAGGGGACTGCAGCCCACATCCTGCTCCTCTGGGTGACCAAGCTGCCTGGGTTCCCCTGTCCTAAGGCACTGGGGAGCCAAAGTCTGCTGAACCTGCTGGTTTGGCTGTTTCGTTTGGATGCGTTGACGTGGACTGTCTGCATCAGTTTTCTGCCAATGTAATAAGTTGAATTATTTCAGGTGCTGAGGCTGCTGGCCAGGCGAGGACCACCCTTTGCAGCAGCACTTCTGCAGTCACTGTTAGCTCATGGCTGGAAGTGTTTGAATAGATGGCCTTTAGATAAAACCAAAGGCCAGTGCAGATGGAGAGAGCATGGGTTGTGTGTGGGGGTTTGAAATAATTAATAGTCTGATTAGGAAAAATTTAGGATTAGAGAGAGTATTGGAGGGTTAAGAGCATTAGGATGGAGCAACAAAGAAAAAACATCATCCCTCCATTCTGGTTCCTGCAGAGAGCAGTGCATGCTTTTAGCATGTGAATAGCTGCAGTTCTGAGAAAAGGGAACAGAGTCAAACGAATGGAGGATCGCAGTAATCCTGACAACCTTCTCTGAAGACATATGCTCTTTTCCACTGCTTTTTCCATTAACGGTGAGCTGGTTTGCATGAAGTAGCCACCTTATGCGTTCAGGTTGATGGAAGAGGAAATCTTGCAGAATTTTGTTTGCTTTGGTCACTGTGCTTTGCTGTCCTAGGTTTGGTTTGCTGTTCAATGGCCAGAACGCTAACAATGGAAATAGTTGCTGATGTGCCTCCTGCCTCCCCTTTGCTGTCTTCTAGAAAATCTCCGGAAGAATTGGACATGGATAAAGTGACAGCAGCCATGGTACTGACCAGTTTATCCACCAGCCCTTTGGTTCGCAGCCCTCCCATCCGACCCAACGGTAAGCCTTGTTGTGCTGAAAAACCCACACCTGGGAATGGAGGACAGCTGGTGCAGGGAGGCAGGGAGCCGAAAGGAGAAGAGCGGCTCTGCTTGCCGGCACAACGGTCTGCTAGCAGCATTAGGAGCTGGTTGGCAGGAGTTGCAGCGCAGTGGAGGAGAGCCTGGAAGGTAGTAATGCTGAGATAGCACTGAGATGCAGGCCATGGGTATGGGATGGACAGAAAGGAGAAGGAAGTGTTTCTTCCCAGTGAGCTGCTCCATGAGTGGGAGGTACCCTCTGACCAGAGACCAGAGAGCAGAGGAGGGGGAATCGGTGCCATGGAGCCTTCTGTCCTCACTGAGGCTCTGCCTTTCTCAACAGTGTACATAACAGTACACATAACAGTTGCTCCTGCCCATACAGCACTGAGATGGGCTGTTCCTCAGCTCTGTGATGAGCTGAAGAGTCTGTGGGCTGCAGCCCTTAGCTGACAGCTGTGTGGTACCGGTCTGCAAAGGGCTCTGCCTAAGGCTGGGGTCTGCAGTTCCTGCCCCATTTATCTGTGCTCTCTGCAGCTCTGGGGCCTGCTGTCAGACCCATAACTCCTTACAAGGCTGATTAATTCATGGTGTAACATGAGGCACACAGATAAAAACACACAAGAAGTACGTGATCGTAATAGAAAGGGTAAGGAATTGTGATTAATCCGTGTAAGCTTGGCTGGAGTTACAAGAGGTGGTTAAAACTGATACGTTTTAAGGATTAATCTTAAATGAGGACCCCTCATTAGGATGTATCAGCATTGTTTGTATGACACTGGCTTTTCTTATTCACTTGCAGCTTTTAAAATAGATGCTGACTGTACTCCTGCTGTAAACAAGTGCTAAGAGGAATACTTACAGATTGCAGTTAATAGGAGTGAACTCTTTGCAAGTCTCGCTGTTACCAGGGATGACCCTCTGAATGGCACTGTACTTAGCAGACTTTGTAAGGGCAGGTAGTGACAGGATGAGGGGAAATGTCTTCAACAGGAAGAGGGTAGATTTAGACTAGATATTCAGAGGGCATTCTTTACTGTGAGTGTGGTGAGATGCTGAAACATGTTGCCCAGTGAGGCTGTGGACGTCCCCAGCCTGGAAGCATTCAAGGCCAGGCTGGCTGGGGCTGTGAGCAACCTGGTTTGGAGAGAGGTGTCCCTGCCTATAGCAGGGGGTTGGAACTAGATGATCTTAAGGGTCTCTTCCAACTCCAACCATTCCATGATTCTAAGATTCTATGATTAAATGTAATCTTTGAGGAATGCCCCAGTTTTAAAGGATTTTATATGAGCATTATGAGTTGTTTTTTTTTTCCCCCATTTCTTTGCAGAAAATATAAGCTTTGTCCATTTGTTTCAGTAGCTGGAAGTGTAGCTGTGAGAAGCCATGGATGCCATCTGTGTGTGTGGCATGCACCTTCCAGTTGTTTAAAACCAGCCCTGTTTATTGTTAGCAGTGCTGTGATGAGCCCTGAGGAGGTTCTGGTGGCGGCAGCTCTGTGGGGTCAGAGCAGCTGGGGCACATGGGGTCCCATTAGCATCCCTGTCGTGGCACGGTGCCTGCTTGTGGGGCAGGGTGCTGTCAGTCACCTCCGGCAGGCCGAGGAGGTGGTAGCTCCCAAAGTGCACATTAGTTGGCATGGCTTGGTTGGGAAGATCTCCCAAAGAAGCCTCTTTGAATTGCTAAGAACTAAATGGTAGCTGGTAGATGCATTTGATACTACTTTATGCAGGTGGAGTGCTCTTTGATATTCCTTCACATAGACTGTTTGCATCTTGCCTGGAATCTGGGAGGACAAGCCTGAAAAAACGATACAGATATTTTCAGTAGTCAGACAAGATTTTGAAGCTGTTGTTGAGCACATTCTCCCTGAATATCCTAATATTTCCCAAGCGGAAGCTTACTAAAGATTTCAATAAAAATGCAAAGATTGGATAATTTGAAACTCACTTGGTATGGCAAGGCTGGGCTCTAGTCTTAGCAGTAAGGTACAAACTTAGTAATGATGAATTTCTTGTACATCCTTTCCCCTCACAGAAGTGGCAGTAAGCAGCAATGTAATTACAGGAACATTTCTTTTAAAATAAATTCTTTAGAATTTTGCCTGGAATTAAAACAAAATAATGATATTGGCATCAATGTGAAAGTCCAATCTTACTGGAATTACTGGGGGTGATTGCCCACATAAATTGGATCAGAGTTTGGCCCTTGTTTCTCTGCAGCTGAGTAATGCTTGGTCTGGTTCTCTTTCACGCAACTCCAGCAATGTGAAAAAAGCACCAAAGTAAGAGTAAGTTGCATTTATTTATATATTGATCTTTACATTGGCAGATTTGTTAGTATTAATGAGAACCAGTGTTTGTTTTCTTCTTTTCCTGTTGTCAGCCTCATTCACTTTTCACATACTACTTTTAAGATGTTCTCTTGATCTAAATCTCTTTCTCAGTAAGGTGAGGAGGAGCTAGAAACCCTGAGAATACAAAGTACCACTGTAAATGTGTCAGAAAGTAGTAGTTGAGAGAGTGCTGTTTCCTTTGTTTATTTGAACAAATGGAAATTTTAAACTATGCAAAGTTCACAAGTTGATACCAGATGTATTTCTTGGCTTTGGCCAGCGTCTCAAGTACAGATACGTACAAGAAGCAAAGCCTCAATTAAAGTCATGTGAAAACTCAGAAGTCTGTAGCTGTGAGTCAAAACATTATATTTTCTTATGATAACTTATTAGCTACAGGAAATGTATATGTCCTTTTGCTAACAGGATTTATTTTTTCAGGAAAAGTGGGGTTTGTGCTCAGTGGCCTCTGTCACCAAGTGCAAGGATTTGGCTACTGACTGTGCAAGGAGGTATTCTTACATGTGTGCTTACATGATGAAGCACCAAAGTCAGTTTTATGAGCAGCTGATGTTAATGATTAAAGGTTTCATACAAAACCAACTGAATCAGGCGTAACAAAGTCATTCGTTTAAGTGAGATTGGGGTAAAACTTTGGTAGCAGTTGGCAGACGTTATTTTTTCTTGCTGATGTCATTAGTTAAATTTAACTGTAAGAAATTGGAAAGGAATGAAGGAGTGACTTCTGCAGAACTCTTAAATGCAGGCAGAGACTTGAAAAGACTCTGTCTTATACTTAGAATGAATAATGTTTCTTCAACAGCTAAAATTTTACATCGTTGCCAGCTCTGAAGTTGAGTATTGCACAATGCTCAGACACCTGTGGTGCCACTGGGTAAAATCCTGATGCCTGAGTTCTGAGGAAAGCTCACCAAACCATCCATGCACACATCCATGCAAGTCCTGTTTGTCCCTGGAGCTTCCTATGGTGTCTGGCATTGCACTTCTAGATGTGTTCAGTCCACGCATTTGCTGATGACCCCAGCATTCCTCTCCTGCCAGAGGCCCTTTAGGGGCTAAGAGGAGTGACGTGTCAGCATTTAGCTCCTGTGGACCTCAGCACATGAAATACAGCTCAAATCATGCCTTGGACTGCAGAGTCCCACCTGCCATGTCATGGAGTGACCTGTTGGCTTGTGGGTCTCTTACAACCTAGTGCCAGGGTAGCTGCTGCAGTGGGGGAGGGGTTCCTGCAGCAGGTAGGTGGAAAAGCAATCCAGGGCCACAAAAGCCACATCTAAACCCCACACCTATATGAAAAAAGGCATATCCTTCTGAGGATGCGTACCGCCTCCGTTACACTGGAGTCAAAATAGATGAAGGTGTGCGCACTGGCAGATTGTAAGAAGGCAGTGAGAGTGCAGTTATGGTCTCCTGTGGTGTTTCAGTACTTGGATGATGATTCTGTTTTCACAGATGCAGTTGGTGTCGTGGGGCTCACAGCGTGTGTCCTCTTCCCGGGGTCTCTCTCCCCGTTGTGGTGCAGTGGTTTGGAGCTTGCCCTTACATCCCACTGCAGTCGTGTGTTCGTGGTTAAAGTTGGGAATGGATTTGAATGTTTTTCCTTGATTTGTGCATGCAATATCTGAGTGCTTATTGCTGTTTATGCTCTAAAGCAGGTTATTTGCCCAGAATTTGTTTTTAAAAAAAAAACTTTTTTTTCTAAACTACAAAATCAAGTGTGGAATATGGCTGTTGACAAATGTAATCTGCGTGCTGTGGGATAGATGTAATTGTCCTCTCTGCTTCCAAGGCTTTCACTTTTCTTTATTTCTTTATCCAGTTAATTGCCAAGATTGTATTTAAGCATTAGATAAAAGAACTCCTTAGCCCTAAGGTGATACTGTTGTAATGACAGCTTTTGTTGTTCTTGACAGAATCCCTAAACGGATCTTGGAAAGAAGGAGGATTTGTGCCTTCTAGTACCAGCAGCAGTGGATACTGGAGCTGGAATGCTCCCAGTGACCAGTCCAACCCATCCACTCCATCTCCACCTCTGTCAGCTGACAGCTTTAAAACTTTTCGAACACCTTCCCAGCCCGATGATGGCATTGATGAAGCTGAAACGAGCAACCTTCTCTTTGATGAACCCATCCCTAGGAAGAGAAAGGTTAGCCTCCTGTTAAATTCCATGCCCATAGGCAAATACAGTGTCAGTAAACTTACCGTGCTGTGAGAAAGGAACACGTCACCTAGAGAGAGCTCTGTATGCATGCATTCCCTCCTTGGCATTCAGTTAACATAGGTACTGAGCCTCATCACTGTGCCTAGCTCAGCATAGTCACCTACTGCACATGCCATCAGCACCACATATTTGCTGGCAGATGGTGAGGTTCTGCTGATCCTCCTGCTCAGAAAACAGTGATTTCCAGAATGCGTTGCCTCTGGCCAATCTGGGGATTCTTCCCCAGTTTGGCAGATTCTTTGTGTGAAGGATGCAACAGGTAGCCTCTACGTGTCGTCACAGAGGCTGCACGTGGCCTTGATATTTCTTGTTCCATGAAAGTGCTGTTTGTCTGACAGCGTGTGAAATACCTTAATACTGTGAAGCTTTCACTGCACAAACATATGGGGTGAAAAAAGGGGAGAGAGATCAAACCTAATGGCTTTTGATACAGCATTAGCAGTGGTCAAATTCATCCTTGGTAGGAGTCTGCAAAAGCAGACTAAATAAAACACTGTGTAAAAAAAGAGAAAAAAAAAAAGTCAAAAACTAAAACCAAAAAGGCACCTTTATGCTAGTAAGCAGGCTGCTCTCGGAGAGAAAAAGAAAACAAAGAGATGGCACTGGTCCAGGTTCTCTTCCCTCCCAACACAACAGGACAGGTTTTACATAGCAAGATGAGAAAGGACTTATGTAAGAAGAAGAAAAAGAGAGAATTTATTCTTCCATAGTGACATTGATTCTGACTCAGTCTGGGGCAGTTAATTGCTTCTGCACCAGCAGGAAGAAGTTCTAATAATTGTTTTAACGTGTTCAGATTTATCTTGTTGCTCCAGAAGTTGCTTATTTGCTGACCAACGCTGTTCTGCCCTTGTTTGTGGGAGAGGGGCGGTTAAATGTTTTTGCTTTCTTTCTGAAAGGGAAAGAAAATATTTTGGAGGACACATTTATTAAAATAAATCAGAAGTTAGAGCTGGTTGTTAAACTAAAGCAAACAGTTTTGGATTGTGTGAGACAGGAGGAGTAGGAATGCAGAAGTGCGCTGCTTTGCCTTTTACTTTTCAATTGAAGTGATGCTTATTATCATCACTGCTATTGTTCAGCCATGATTAGACAGATGGTTTTACAGCTGCCATCTTTATTGTTATGTAAGTTGCCTGTGAGTATTTCTATTTATGTACTCACCACAGATACATTCCACTGTCTCTTCCTGTTCTCATGGATTTTGCTCTGTATGGCAAATGTTTAACTTTGATAAATAATAACATTACCTGCCAAACTTTGTTACAGTTTAGCTGCACTTCCTGTACTTTTTTTTTATTCTGGCCCCAGCATGGTACTTTTTCTGAGTACATCTTCACACATTTAGAAACTGAAATGAAAATGTTTGGGTTAATTCTTATTTAGGGCTTCAAAATCAAAAGGAATAAGCGTGGAAATAGTGGTTGGTAACCTTACTTCAACTCATGAAAGTTTCTTCCATTGCGTGTTTCAAAACATCACATTAGCAACCACATTCCATTAAGAATCATAAAATCATAGAATAGCTTAGGTTGGAAGGGACCATCCAGTTCCAATCCTGTGCCATGGGCAGGGCTCCACCCACCATCTCAGGCTGCCCAGAGCCCCATCCAACCTGACCTCACACACCTCCAACGATGGAGCATCCACAGCTCTGGGCAGCTGTGGCAGTGCATCACCACCTTTTGAGTAAAGAATTTCCTCCTAATATCTAACCTGAATTTCCCTTTTTTTTTAGTTTAAAGCCTTTACTTGCTTAAAAGTTCCCATTAAGGTAGTAGTTCCCATAATTCCCCACCAGATCTTCTATCCATTATTTTCTTAAATAAAGTTAAAGTCTGATGATACAATTTGACTAGTCAGAAATGGAAGCACGGTTTATGTTCTGTATTTCTGCCCTGCGATATTTCATTTGGTTCTACTAAAATTTACATATTCCCAGCATAGACAATAAAGCTAAAAATGCAGTAGAGATGGATTGTTTTTACCATCTAACCAGAGAGAGATACTGAACCACTCTGTGTTCATAAAGATACACCTGGTGTTGGGGATGCCATAGGGGAGCTCCTGTAATGTACGTGGTAAGTGTAGTCTTCATGTTGTCACTGTGGCTGGTGGCAACTTGTTATTACTTAAGCTGATTACTGCAGTCAGCTTTTGCTTTGACAGGCCATCAGCTGAGATTTTTTTGAAGTTCTATTCTGTTATCTTTATAGCAAATGCTGAAATTCATAATGTACTCAAGTGCAATTCCAGATGATCCAAAGTGAACCAATCACGAGGCTGATTTCTGTTCATGACACAAAGAAAGCATGTGCTCGTCTCTAAGGATATGCTTGGTTTTTTTTTAATTGAATGTTATCTGGACATAATTACTTAATACTACATGGAACTTTTAAAATAATGCATTCTGTAATCTTAGAGAAAATGATTTTGGGGAAGCCCAAATTATTTAGGTGTTAACATTTTAAATTAGAAATGTATAAAATTGGTTTCATTTGAGGGACTTGAAACTGGAATGCACAAATTAACAACAAGTCGTGCCAGAGAGCAGGGAGAGGTGAAGCTTGGGCACAGGCTGCTCCTTTCTCTGCACTTTGTAGAATCCAGTGAGATTGTGCTGTTAGCTGAGACAATGGCAGTGTTAGAAATTGAGAGTTAGAGGCTGTAGGCACTCAGTGATTGATTCAGCATTCATATAAGACTGTTTTATAAGTCTGTGTTTCTTTTGGGTTGCTTTTTCCTTCTTCTGTCCTCCCTGTGACTAAGAGTGCGTTGCTCTCTTGTTTCAGAACTCAATGAAGGTGATGTTCAAATGCCTGTGGAAAAACTGTGGAAAGGTACTGAGCACAGCTGCAGGGATTCAGAAACACATACGGACCATCCACCTTGGGTAAGAGAGCGCTGCCTTCAGAAATCAAAGGGATTTCCTGTGCTTTGCCTGGGAGATGACTAAATTATCCCTGTCTTTTCTAAGATCCAAAGGTTTCTGGAGAAGTTGAGGAGCAGTATGTAGAGGTAAACAGGAACTTCTTCCAAAAGCAAGGCACTTTCTTTTCCAAGCTTTAGTGAACTTTGCTAGAAGGTCCCCAACAGCATCACAGCTCAGAAACATTTGATGGAGAATTGCTTCCACTTCGCTCCTGCTCTCTGCTTGTCATGTCCAGTCTGCAGCTGGGTGAAAGATGGCAGGTTTTGTGGTGCTGCATGAGTACTTTCCAGTTTTGTTTCACATTGAATTACATTCTGAGTCAAAGGAATTAAGAAAACTGAAAATGAAACCAAGCTGCTAATTCCATGTGTGTTTATTTGGACTAGAAGCAAAAACTAATGAATCTTGTATGACATGAGGTTTTTTGAGAGCTTTAGTTTTCAACTAAAATCTCCTGTGCAATTCACTGAGTGACCTAGCTGTTTAATATATAATTACGGGGAGACCCAGTGCTGCCTCACAGTGTTAGTGAGCAGGCAGTCTGGGAGACAGTCTGGACATCAGGGCAATGGAAGGGGGAAAGGTATCCAGGTGTTGGCTTACATGCATATGTAATTGAATTTTTTTTCTCATTTCCTTTCTTTGTGGTCTTCACCTGAGGGTTGTGCAGATATATCCGTGGTGTAAGTCTGTGTTATCCAGTGCTTATAAATTAAAAGTGACTGTGAGTTGTAGACTGGCATGGAGCTCTGGGGGGTTGTGCAGCAGTGGTAGTAATTGGTGTTGGGCTTAAGTTCTGAAGACTGAAGCTGTCAGAAAAAATCTCTTTCAAAATGAAGTTACATTCTTTTTTTCTTCATCCTGTGTACTGCTGCAACATCTTTTGCATGGCATGGGGCAGGGAGAAGTAAACAGCAGAGCTTCCCATATGGAAGATTCAGGACAAAAAAAGTCATGTATGAGCTGCGAGGTTGAATTTGAACAGCATGAGTATTGGGAATGTGCTAAAATAGTGGTTTGTTTGGGATTTCCTGATAATGTGTAGACTGTCAGGAATAATTGCTTGTGACTGGGCTGCTTCATGCCCAGTGTTTGTTGTCTAGCAGACAGCAGGTATGGTCAGGGGGTGCAGGGACATGCAAGCCTCTTGTGTCTCCTCCCTCGGTAAGTCTGCAACTGAAGGTTAGGACCAGACAGTCCAACACAGGCAAGCCAGCCCTTAAGTGTCCTTTCTGTGCCCGTGTTGGAGTGAGCTGCATGGTGAGACTGTTATCGAGCAGCTTATTCTATTAGGCCAAGGAAAGTTACAGTGACATGTCCAAAACTATATTTGACTTAAGAAACTAGTGATAAGATAATAAATTATTTCCTGTTAGGTTAGCAAGGTTTATCTTGCCCATGCTTGTTACCTTTAAATGCCCTTCTGTGGCTGCTTTGTCATTTATGAAGTTAAAGTGCTTTGAGATTCTTGTTAAACTCAATAGTTAGCAATTGGAAACAAGTACTTCTTGATATTTATGCTGAGGCATAGAAGTTAAACATCAAGTCCAAGGTAAAGAATTAGAGGAAATAAAGTTTTAAATTTCTGCTTCTTTTCCCTTCAGACTGGATGATTTTCTTTTCTTCCTTAGAGTCAGATCTCTGATAAAGTAGGAAGAGTTAAAACTGGAAATATTAATTAATTGACAGTATGAATATATTTGCTTATGCATCTAGAACTTAAAATACACGTAAGGTTCTTGCTTTCATTTAATCAGTCCCTTTTTCTTGATACAGACGCGTAGGAGAATCTGACTACAGTGACGGAGAGGAGGATTTTTACTATACAGAAATCAGGCTCAACACGGACTCAGTAGCTGATGGCTTAAGCAGCCTTTCACCAGTCTCTCCATCTTTAGCATCTCCTCCTTCCTTTCCCACCCAAGATGCAATCCGTCCTGAAACTTCCTGTGCCAAAACTGAGACTAAATTGATGACACCTCTGAGCCGCTCAGCTCCTACCAACCTCTACCTCGTACACACGGACCATGCTTACCAGGTAATGCTACTGAGAGTGAGCTCCACTGACTGCACTGACTTTGTTAATGTAGAAGAAAATGTCTAAATACTGTGTTTGGATTTTGAAAAGCCAAGCTTAGTTTTAGTGAGTCAAAAAGTTTCATGGAGCAAGAACACTTAATGGGGCTTGTCTCATTTAAACTGTATGTCCATTTCTGGGTTAGTTCTTTATGCTCTCACCACAGCCAGTGGACTTTGGGGTACAATCTTCCAGCTGTATGTAGAATCATAAAATTGCTCAGGTTGGAAAAGATCTTCAAGACATCAAGTCCAACCGCAACCTAACCATACCACCCTAACTCTAGCAGCCCTCTGCTAAATCATGTCCCTGAGCTTTCACCCTGTATAAGTGCATGCTTCATGTTGAGAAGAGTTGCTCTGCATATTCCACTGCCTACTCAGTTATTTCTCCAGTGACCATAAGAAATGCCCAAGGTGACATGTTCTCGTGTCATCTCCTGCATTGTAAACAATCAGTCAGCTAAATCCCTCCCAGAGTGTTAGTTTCATCTCTGCTAGTACTGGGTATGTCTGGAAGCAAGTACCCAACACATGCTAGGAACAATTCTTTTCCTCTGCTGTGTGCAGCATGAGATGTCAGTTTGTGTATGTGAAGAGCAGGAAAAATGAAAAGACGTATGTGATACCCTCCCACTTTTAGAGATAATTCTTTACAAATGGGAAAACTCCAATCATATACAAGGTGCTGTTCAAAAAGCTTTCAACTTAGTTCAGACAGAAGGCATTAATTGTAAAAGAGCACTAAAATTTAGTATGTTTTGGTCTGGATGCCATATGAGAAAATATGAAGTGAGACTTTGAAGTGGTGTGGTCCACAACCTGTGTATGCACTGAGAACTGAACTCTTAAATTTGTCAGATGCAGTAACTCTTGTTTATGGCATTGTGCAGATAAAACCCTTTTGTTGTTTGTCTGGAACAGCATAGTTTGGTCTCCCACACACCTTGGAAAGCATGAGTGGAAGTTTGGCACCTCAGGTGGGAGCTGCATCAGGTAGTGCACCAGCCTGGGCACTGATGAAGCCAACTAGGAGAAGGACTTTCTTCTCAGTCTCGCTTAAGCCCTGCCTCTCCCATAGTGAGGTACCAGATCTTGGCTACTCACTTGACTGGGATTTGTAGTTGCCAGGTTCTTTCCTGCTGTATGAAGACTCAATCCTTCTTTATATAGCAGAGAAAGGATATGCCAGCCCTTTCCATTTTTTTCCAGCCTTTGAGTAACACTTGATTAAAGAAATTGTGTTTGAGATGTTTCAACTGCTTGAATTGGATTTGGACTGATGTATTCCACAGTATCATACTGCATGTGCCTGAACACTACAAGTGCCTCCTTGTCAAGTTGCTCCATTTTGAGTACTTCATTTTATTAGTGAGGAATGACCCTGTGCATACCGTATAAGGCATTCTCTTAAATTGGGGTCCCTGTTCCAGTTCACATTCAGGTTTTCTTTGCCAAGGAAGCAGCTTACGTGGAGCAGATCAGTGGGATGTCCTCCAGCCCAGCCAGGGGAGACAACCCACCACGTGGAGTTACTGTATTTTTCCTGTTGCCTTTCAGTGAGGTTTTTGTATTTCACTGAACTCAGCAGACATGTGCTTCCTCAAGGAGTTGATGTGTCTGTATTGAACCTCTTGGAACTGCAGCCTCAGCAGCATTGGGAGCATAGCTGCAGGAGATGGAATCATTCAGTGGCCTTGGTTTCTTTTGCTTGGTGAGATTCCAGAGAATTGCTTCAGCAATTTGCTCCAAAGAATATTTTTAATGGGAACAATCAGATAGCAGTTTGTCATCACTCCTTCTCTTCATAGTGGTTCAAGGAAGCAGTTAGGTGACTCCAGGAGCCTCAAACACAACCTCTACTTAGATAAATGCTTGTGTTGCTGTGAGACTCAGGTGACTGAAAGACAAAAAAACTCATTTTTTAAGTGCAAATTCTTTATAAATTTGAATCGAGAAGTCTTTTGTGTGTGTGTGTGATGAAAGCTTGAATCTCAAGAGTCAAGGGAAGCCTGTGTTGATAATGGCTGCTCACACTCCTGCTAGACAGAGTAAATGTGAGGTAATGTGAGGTTACAAATTTCCTGACTCTGTTAAGTGAACAGGGATGCAAAATGATAGAGAAAAGGAATTCCAGAGGGGACGAAGCCAAGTGAGAAAAACTGAGGGAAGATATAAGATGAAAAATACCAAACAGTCCTAAGCTGAGTTCGTTGAGGATTGCAACCCAGGGTATTACTGGGTGTTACAACCCAGATGGAAGGAAGGTAAGAGTTCTTTGTACTGTAAGCGTCCTTCAGATATGTGCTTAACTTCAGCTGCCATTGAATCCCAAGCTTCATGTTTTTAATAAGAGCAACTGTTCTAATTGGGATGAATCATAGGAGCATTTGTCTGGCGAATGAAAAATGGCCAACCTTTACTGTTAATGCTGTTGTCCAAAAATCCTCTCCATCCAATCTTCAGTTACTGTAACCTGCTGTCACCATTTCATACACTTCCTTGTTTATCACTGTGGGTAGGTTAATCATTTGTACTATTTTTTTGCTGCCAACTGGCATTATTAAAACAGGATTGTTTTTTTTAATATGGTACTTGAGTTCATGTTTTTTCTACCAGACCCAGGTTTTAAAGATTTTTGCATGGATTCTTGTGAGAGCTATCATCTTCCTCCAAACAGGGTTTTAACAACAGTGGTATATAAACATGTTCCTTCCTTACTGGCTTATCTGCGATTATCCTTCTCAGCAACAGGGTAAAATGCTTGTCACTGTCAGCACTGTGAAGGTTTTTTCCACCTCTGAAGCTCTCTTACAGATTTACAGTTTTAAGGAGTAAAAGATCCCTTAACATGCTTTGGAAAATGAATGGTTCTTTTACTGGAATCATATTTTCTTTTCAACAGGCCACTCCTCCAGTGAACATTCCAGGGTCAACTAAATTCACTCCCAATGGCAGTAGCTTTAGCATCTCTTGGCAGTCGCCTCCAGTTACCTTCACTGGCATCCCAGTAAGTGAATGACAAGGAAAAAAAAAAAAAGGAAAAAAAAATTTTGTTAAGAACTTTTTGTGTGTTTTCACAGTATCTCATAACAGTAGTAATTTTGACAGAACAGGTACAGAAGAGAAATAAGTCAAGCTATGCCCCAGTTTGCTTGTGTGACTGATTGTAGCCCTCTTGCAATCTCTTAAATGCAATTCAGTGTTTTTTGTTTTTGTTTTTTTGTCTTGGTGACCGCAAGCAGAGAACTGGATTGATAGTATGTTTTTTAAAATACCTGCTTACAAAAGAATTTTCTGGGAGGTGCAGAACCCATCACTACATGCTGCTTTTTCTGCCACTAAGAGATTGCTTGTGAGGCTGGAGAGAAAATTAACCAGGCAGTGGTTATGTTAACAGGGTAATTGGAATCAAGCAGTAGGGCTGTTATCTAAATGAACTCTGAAGATGAAGTACAGTTGAAAGGCAACAGAAGGAAAGAAATAAAGTATGAAGTCTGTCCCCAATAGGCTACTGGGATGTAGCCTCTACTGACAGCAGAAAGTTCTGTAATTTTGCACAAAAGATGCATGTAATACATAAAATATTTTTAATATTATTTTTAATAGTAATACATGTTGCAATGTGACAACTTTTTAATGAAGTATTAGATGCAAAGTCAGCTCTGGCCCTTTCTTCAAACAGATAATGTACGAGGCCGTATTTTCTTACAGAGCTGCAGAAATTGGTTGTTTGCTGAAACATAGGTTTCCAGTAGTCCTAAATGTGAAGCAGTATAGATGTGGATACTGTAGGGGGAGGTAAAAACCATAATGAAAGCTTCAGAGGGATTAGGAGCCTAGTGCCTAGCATGTGAGTGCTAAGAATAAACGTAATCACTGCCTTCAAGTAATGGAAGATCTTTTATGTAACAAAGAGAAATAAATATATATAAAATTTATTCTATTTTTTATTGGAAAGCATTTTTTATTATAAATTAAGATTCCCTAATCATAAACTCACTTCATATGATAGTGTTTCATTTAATATTGTGCCTTCTGAATTTTTACAATCTATTGCATAACACACTTTGCTCATTTAAAGAACCATATAGCTTTTTTTCCTACTGCCAGTGAATATTAGACATGGTGATAACAGATGCTATTTCCCTCCCTTTTCTTCACCAAGTGAATCTCCAAAGCTTCTTAATGTCAACCTTTGGTAAATCTTGGAGATTTTCTCAGACTGTGGTATCCTGCAGGTCTGATAAAAAATGAAAGTGGCTGAATCAATTACACTGTGCTCTGCCAATGAATATTTATTGAGTTCTATCAAGGAACAACTCACAGTGAAAGACATCATGCTGTCAGCAATTTGAACAAGAGCGCCTCGACAGAGCGTGCTATCTGTGAAGTTCCTCGAGTATTTGATTTCACAACAATGGGGTTGATGCAGAGCAATTACAAAACTGGCTCCTTCTGTGGAGTAGCAGAAATTGGTGCCAGTAGTGTTGGGAATCTAAAAGTGTAATTATCCACACTGTAAATCAGACACATAAGAGGACAGGATTAGACGTGTGTGTTGAGTTTGCTTGCTCAAGCAACAATGTTGAACTCTAGCTTTAGATCTGACATTTCTCAAGGGAATTTAAGAGATGCCAAATCACTTTCACAGAATTGTGTGAAGTTACCAATGATCTAGGTACAATTCAAAAATGATCCCAGTACAAAAACCTCAGGAAGCGTTGATGATAGCAGAATAATAAATCACTCTGGGAACCATATGAACTGATTTTTATGTGTCTGCTACATAGGTCATAGTAATGCCTCCTATTTATTTCCAGGGAAACTCCAACAGATACAAAGTGCACAATGACTCTATTTGATAGAACACATTCTCAGCTACAAAAGACTGTTTTTTAACACAGTCACCACCATTAGCTGTACGTTTTTGCCAGCCATGAGCAAGAAGTGCCTGCATGCTACACTTATAAAATTGGCACCAGTGGAGGTGATCCTCTGTCACCACCGCTGAAACACAGCACTTGCTGCCTCTCTGTGCTCACATCCACTGTTTGGTCTCCATGAACATTCAGCAAGCATCAATGAATGTCAGTGAATGCAGTTTTTTCCACGTGGAGGAATTCAGTCCCACACCTTTGCTTCCTACGCACTTCCACGTCAGACGCCATTTTGTCAGAGTGCCCCCTGCTGCCGTACTGCAGGCATTCGCCTCTGACACTGGGGACAAACGTAATAAAATAGGAGGCATTTCTTTTGGAGCAGCCCTTGTAATATTTATCGAGCTGCTAGCCAAAAACAACCAACCAGTCCAACCTTTTAAGTTCATACACACTTGAATATTGTGTCAGCAGTGAGATCATTTAAGAATGAAAGGCTTGCCTGTAGTGGGAAGTGATGTGTGTAAGTGCAGATGTAAATGCAAAGTGATGCTCAATAACTGCATATTAAATGAAAGTTGCATTTCGCTTGTGTTTTTTTAAGTAAATGAGATATTGCCTTACAGAAGTAGAGCAGTGCTAATTCTCACCCTTGCAATGAGTGCAACTCCTCTTGGAAAGCTGTAATCATATAGTGGAGCTTCTCTACCTTACCAGCCTGTGTGACAGAGCCAGTGTAACACATGCTTTGCTCTGAGCACTGTGCATGCCTTTCTGTATGTATTTGGCCCCTGAGGTTAGGTGCACGTCCGCAGCAAGCAAGGGAACTTAAGAGGGTAATTTAAGCCATTACTTTCTGTCTTACCCATAATAGTTACAGGCAATTTTCTAAAATAGCTTTGGGCTACCTTTTTGGCTGGTGACAAACCATTGAGAAGTAAAAAATGGATATGGATTTACAAAAATATGTAGGCTACAAATTCTCTCATGTTACCAGCAGTGTGGGGATAGGATGAGTGTGTCGTGCGTGCCAAGAGGGCTGCTGAGCCAAGAAGGTTTACAGTGCAGAGTAAAGGACTTAATTCAATACAGATTGTTAGCTTGCACTCCCAATGAAACCTGGGGGGCTGCATTGTAATTGCCCTGCACCAAGCTCCCTTCTCCCAGGCTCAATATACTCTATAAACACAGAGTCATAGGTCAGAGCAACATACAAAATCCCTTCATCTCACAAGGGATTATTAGTATTCATCTGAACACAGGCTGAGGTCTGTTTTTGTAATTAATTGGAGAGAGTTTTAATAAGAGACTTTCAGAGTTCTTAAAAAAAAGAATGCATGCATTTGCTGTATTCCCCCAAACCTCAAGTGATGCTGCTCTGTAGTGTAGTTTACTCACTTGGGTGACGAGACATACAGAAAAGCAACGTGGAGCTGATATCATGTGCATATTTACACGCTTTTTACTGACCTCTCCTTTATATGTATACTGTGTATCACAAATTACTTTTTCTGGAAGCAGTTCTATTTGTGACAAACGGCAGCAGTTTGATTGTCATAGATTTAAAGGTGTGTTTCTGTTTCATTCATGTCTGCATGTAGTTCATAAGTGACCTTTTTGTCTGTATTGACAGGTCTCACCAACTCACAATCGTCCTGCTGGGAGTGGAGAGCAGAAGCAGTCCCACACAGTTCTTTCATCACCACCCAGAGTAGCATTTGGATTGAGGTATGGGACCATTGGCTCCTACTGACAGACCAGCAGCTTCAGACCTTGGGGGGTGTTTAGTAAATAAGATGTCAGTGGCCACAGAAGCAGAAGCACTACAGCACCAACTGTGCTTGCAGTTGTCAGGTAGCTTCTTACTAGGATATTTCAGGATAACCCATCTATGCTTTTCATTACCACCAAAAGTAAAGTTCAGGGGAAAAATGAGTTGTCGAGGAATAAAAAGGGCACAGACTTTGAAGGAGAACTGCAGGCCTTATGCCAGGTAGATCTGGAGTTCAGATGCACATTTAAACTCCCCTGTAAAGCAGTGGTATGCAGATCCACAGTTCCAGTTGAAGCATCTTGAACTTCATTGCTTTTTTCTCTGAAATGCTGGGCTGTCTTGTGAGTTCGTCTCCATACATCCAGTGTGGTGTTTGACAAATGATCAAATGATTAAAAATGTATCTTACAGTAAATTAGACGGAGTGAAGCTTTGTGCCTTGTCTTCCTACATGGGAGCTGCAGTCCCTTCCATTAAAGATAGAACAGAGTCTGCTTTGAATAAAAAATTCAAAAAGTTGCATTATAAAAATCAAACTGCAATGCTGTATTTCTTCTAGTAAAGAAACTCTTCATTTCTCCCAGTCCTAAAAGATGACTGAACCCTAAAAAGACAACAGAGAGTACAAGGAAGATTTTATGCTTTTCAGTTTCAGTGTGACTCTTCACTGCATGTGCTATAAATGGAACTTGGGATGTTCCCAATTCATGGACTGTGCTTATTGTCAGTAATAAAAAAACTCATATATATACAAGAGAATAATCACAAGGCAGCTCCTGTGCATGCAATATCTCATGCAGGTATTAAACAGTTGTGTCTGTCCACTCATTTGATTTAAGGACTCTAGGTCTGGCAGCACTGCTGTAACGAGTATCGGGTCACTCCTTGTAGCATTGCTCCTCAGGTTTGCTATGTAGAAAAGTTCCATTTTAACATTTGTCTTAATCATCTTCTGCAATTCTCTTGTGAGCTTTAAGTATGGAGGTAGGATGGAATACATGACAATCACGATGGCTTTAAAAACAGGTACTGCCTGACTTGTTGGTTTCAGGGAGGAAAAGAGCACATGTGAACACAGAATCACAGAATGGCCCAGGTTGGAAGGGACCTCAAGGATCATGAATCTCCAGCCGCCCTGCCACAGGCAGGGCCATCAACCTCCCCATTTAATACTAGACCAGGCTGCCCAGGGCCCCATCCAATCTGGCCTTGAACACCTCCAGGGACAGGGGATCTACAACCTCTCTGGGCAGCCTGTTCCAGCACCTCACCACTCTCATAGTAAAGAACACGTTGCAGCTGAGGGCTGAAACTTGTTTTTAATTGCCTGGATGTTGTTCAGTCTGTGAGGTCAGCAAACCACGCAGGAAGGATGTACAAACTTAGGAGCTGGCAGCTCTTCCCCTCTTTTGCATAGCTGCTGCATGCCTACAGTCAAGGTCTGCTGCTCTGCACTGTGCAATGTATTTGTAGCACAGTGCTACAGCAGAGAGCACTCGTGTGCAATGTGAGCCTGGCTGTGCTGCGGGATAGCTGTGGTTGTCCATTACACCTTGGCACTGCATGTGGCTAAAGTAACAAGAATCTAGACCAAGTTGAGCCTGGCTCAAGTATGGCCCGTGCACCAGCCTTGGAAGAAAGGGGAGCAGGCTCAGCTGCTGCTGCAAAGACTTCAGCCTTGCCATGCAGCTGCTTGCTTCATCGCTCTTGGTCAGCTCACAGACACACTGCAGTCTCTTAGAAACTGGGGCATACTCAGCCGTCTGCACGTTGCTGAATCCATTGTCCTGACATGGGGAGGTAAGGCCAGGCTGCAAAAACGTAGTGTAAACGAACTTCCCTTTCTCTCTGACAGGAAGCCGAGAGGGGAGGGGAAGAAGTGTCGGAAGGTCTATGGGATGGAGAACAGAGATATGTGGTGCACTGCCTGCCGGTGGAAGAAGGCCTGCCAAAGGTTCATCGACTGAAGAGCGAAGTTATGCAGAGGATTTAGGGATGGGAAAGGACAACGACAGGACAAGATTGCTACACCTGCACTGTTTCACTTCCTGTTTCCCTCCTGTGATGCGGTGTTGGGGTTTTTGTTTTATTATTTGTTTTTTGATTTGTTGGGTTGGTTTTTTTTTTAACAAAGAGAGCTTTGTATTTCCAAGTGAAGCACTTGTAGCCAAGGAGAAGCACTAATTAAAACCTGTGTGGAGCAATAGAGCAAAAAAAGTAAAAATAAAAAGCAAAACCAAGAACACACAACAAAATTCTGTCTTACAAAGTGTTGACACCGGAGCAGCTATCAGTGTTTTTCTGTGTTGGTTTTTTTTTTTTAAAAAAAAAAAAGGAAAAGTAAATTCCTTGCTAACTCTCTGAGCTATTTGCTCCTTTGGGTCATTTTTAACCTTTGCAGTGTCTTTGCTGCCAACGTCTGTATTTGCTAAACTGGACATTTTTTCTTTTCCTGAAATGAAGATCTCTTTTTGAAAGCTTTCTAATAAACACTTCAGAGTCATATAAGCTACAGTTTACTCAACAAAAGCTGTAACTAAGACTGGAGACTGCTAAATAATTCTCCTGATACGAATGATCACGATGATGATATATTTTTGGAAAGGGGCTGTGGGAAGGAGTTGGGATTTTTGTTTGTTTCTTTCTAGGAGAAAAGAAAAGGCAGAATTTTCCAGAAGGACAAACTGCTCCTGGAAGGCTTTTAAACCATACACAGACCAGCAGAGTGGAACGGAGTAACTCATGTACCAAACTGGATTTTGACCCTTTGGAGGAGGAAAAGCAGCAATGGACAGTCACCAGCAGATCTGTCACTGCCAAAGTGGAGGGAAGAAATGCAATGACGGTTGATGGAAACCCGTAAGAATATAATGGGGGTCCGGTAGCTTTTCTTACTACTCTTCCTGTTCATAGGGAGGAGCAACAGCTGGACCAGCACACGTGTTGCTGCAGGAGGCCTGTAAAGAGCTGGGAGATGCACTAGGATTCCATGTAGTACCTGTTCAGGGACACGATCCAGCCCAGCAGTTCTGCTCTCGCTTCCTTTTCTCTTCTTTCAGAGATGGTTAAGATAATGGTTTGCTCAGCTTTTTTTTTTTCTACATATTAAAGTTGCTAAAATTTATTTTGCGCAAAAAAAAAAAAAAAAAAAAAAAAAAGAAAATACCACAAAGTCATCTCAGAAAAAGAAGTACAACAGCAAAGGAGCAACATATGTATGGTAAAAGTTCATTTCTTAACTCATTTTGATAAACAAAGTAATGGGTTTCTATACTTGCAGATGTTGGAAAGATTGGGTACTTCCGTGTCTCTGTCCATCAGGAAGTACACACCTGAATGTGGGAAGCTGTGTTCTGTCTCAAATTATATGGAATTGCCATTAACTGACCGTTATTTCAATGCAGAAATAAAATAAGGATTTACTATGATATGAATGTATACCATTAAATGACACTTGTCTGTTAAACAAAGCAAGACACCTTAAGGGGGAAAAAAGAAAAGCAAAACTTTGCTTCTTACTGGAGGCATAGGGGCCCAATATTTCTGTTTTTTTTTTCTTCATACCGTTTGAAATTAGACCAGATTTTTTTGTTATTAATTATTTAATCTGCCTTGTCCTCTCTGAGATAAGGGACTCTATAAGCTATCCTGATAGCTTTCTAAAATCTGGTCCAGAGTTCACTTGATAGCTTTATTAAGCACGCATTGCTGCTTATGCCTGCGTGAAAGCACAGAACAACAGTGCAGGCGTTGAGAACACGAGCTAGGAATTCAGCACAGCAGTACTGAGAGGTGAAGGATATAATAGAAGCTACTGGAGGATGTCATCTGGGTTCTTTTTAAACAAGTTAATTGGGCAATCAGATGCATAATTTGAGCATGCTATTTCTGCAGTTGTGTACAAATTGTGTAATTTACATGCACAAGCAGCAAGATATGCTTGCGTGCACGCAATTTCTTGCTTATTTGCCTATTGTGTTCTGTAAGTCATTTAAAAAAACAACAGGAGATAGACTGAAATATATACACATATGTATGTGTGTATCTATATATATACACACACATATATGTATATATATGTAAAATCTGGGATCAGAAGGGAGGAGAAAGATTGGGTATCCATAGCCACTGTTTTAACATTGTTTTTTTCCTAGCAAAATGTGGGTTTTCTCTGCATGTTGTGTTGTTTTGGTTTCTTAGTAAAATGCCTCTGGTAATTCATAGCCCCAAATTTCATCTTCTGACACTTTGTGCATTTCTGTGGTAAGACTTACTAGACCTGGGGCTTTCAGAGATGCTTCTGCCAATTTGCCCCTATTTTTACAAGCACTGCTAGACTGATTATAAAGCATTTCATAATTAATTTGGCCATCGTAAGACCCTCAGTATTTGCTTATATATTTGTTCTTCCCCTCCTTTTGTGTTTTGCCTGTTTGCTTTGGAGGATTTTGTAAAAATAATGTATTAGAATGTATGTTATTTTCTTAATGTCGTGGCATCATGAGCACCTTTCCTGAGGGCACTTTACGAATTATTGTAGATTATTCTTTATAGATTTCTGCACAGAAGATGGGTGTTGTTGTCAGCACAGATCGCCCTCTGGTACACATTTCATACAGATTACATATAGGCACAAGAGCTGCAAGTTATCAGATGTGATAGAGAAGTTTTGTTAAGCTGAGACCAGAAAATGCTTCATCCACCATAAATTCTGCCAGGACAGAGTTAAACAATCCGTATTTTCACACCATTGGCAATCAGCAGAGTTTATATGGAATGAGTTTGGCATCTTTAGGCTGTGGCATTTCTGGTGCTGCGTCTCGCTTGTGGCCTGGGGTGGCACAGCCCTCGTGCTTCAGATTTCAAGCCAGATTGATGCCTGTCCTGGCATTACCAGGCACCATCTGGAGTAACTTCTTCCATTTTTTCATGTATCGCTTCAGTGCTGTTTCGCGCTCTGTTACTGTTCTGCTGATACATACTTTGTGTCCAAGTTCTGCACAGTCCTTCCAGAAGGAGTAAGATCCTTTGTTTCCCAAGGAGGAACTGGTTTCAAGGGTGGCTTGAAGCTTGGCTCATTTCTCATCATTGGTACCCACCATTTCCTGTAATTTCTGTGTTTGTAGTTTTATGGGCCATCGTCTCTGACCCTCCAAAGAAGTCGGGAGGAGTGGCCACAGTTCATCATGCAGTGTCTGTGTGCTGCGGGTGCTTGGGTGTGTGTGTACTTATGGCAAGAGCTGGGACCTCTGCCTGAGGTGTAAGGATTGAAGGATGTGTGTTAGCAGTTTAACCAAATACTGCTGTTTGTGCTGCTTAGAGAAACTGCCCATGTCAGTGTCCCAGTGGCTATCAGCAGCATAGCTCCCAAATCTTTTCTTCAGTTCTCTTGCTTGAACGAAGCTACTTCCCGTGTCATAGAATCATAGAATGGCCTGGGTTGAAAAGGACCACAACAGTCATCTAGTTTCAACCCCCTGCTATGTGCAGGGTCGCCAGCCATCAGACCAGGCTGCCCAGAGCCACGTCCAGCCTGGCCTTGAATGCCTGCAGGGATGGGGCATCCACAGCCTCCTTGGGCAACCTGTTCCAGTGTGTCACCACCCTCTGTGTGAAAAACTTCCTCCTAACATCTAACCTAAACTTCCCCTGTCTCAGTTTAAAACCATTCCCCCTTGTCCTACCACTATCCACCCTCATAAACAGCCATTCTCCCTCTTGTTTATATGCTCCCTTCAAATATTGGAAGGCCACAATGAGGTCTCCCTGGAGCCTTCCCTTCTCCAAGCTAAACAAGCCCAGTTCCCTCAATCTTTCCCCATTTATTCCACCCCTACACAACAACAACAAAATCTGGAAAAAGAGGTATTCTAAGAAATGCAGTTAGAAAATGTGATTGTGTTCCACCTGCTTCTCTATGAAGTAGCAGCTACTGGACATTACAAACTCCAGTCATCATATTCATAACATTTTTTTCCATCCTGATGTGCCTGATTCTCTAGTGCCTTGCACAAGTGAAAGGGGTTACACAAGATGCAAAGTGAGCAAAAACTTCCACAAAGCAATGTGCAGCTTTGCACTTGCCTCTGATACCATCCCTGTCAATACCCATCATGGCATGAGCTCGACGCACAGGGTCTGTGTGATTCAGCAAGGCAGAAGCCAGTCCCTTGAGTTGCTTTGCCCACGTCAGTAGCCTGCTGTGATCATTAGCTGTCTGACAGTGCATGGATTCCTCGCACCGTTCTGTCACCTGCATCACTCCCTTCATTCCTTCTCCCCTTCACTAGGATAACAGACAGGCAGACAGCGGAAGGCAGAGCTTTCCCAGGAAGTTCTTAGAGGACGTACATTTAAGAGCAGATTCCAGCTCTGTCTTGTCTCAGACGTGGATTTCCTTGCCCCAGAACACTGTGGTTTTCATTTATCCCCACCCGCAGGACAGGCTGTGGTTTCCTGTCAGTGCTGTGGGCTGGAAGCAGCTAGAGACGCCCAGCCCAGGATGCAGGGCAGTCAGTCATGGCTGTTAGCGTGGCAATGCAACATGATTTCCTTCATCCTTCCTCTGTAAATCTGTTGAAAAACCGCCTCAGAATACGGACATGAAATGCAAAGATTGCTGGCCATATGTAGAGATCCAGCAGGTTGCTAGAGAGTCTTGTTCCTGCTCAAATTGAACCATCTGTAGGGGTGTGCTCTCCTTTTCTTAATAGCATTTGAATCAGGTTATGTTTGTGAAGTCTCACCTTTATCTTCTGTTTCCACATTATTGCATCTTCCCGTAGGTGATGGCACCAGAGCTGAGACCTGCAGCAAGCAGTGGGTTCTGCCTGCACCTGCCAGGGGTTAGCAGGCATGGCTGGGGGCTGCTGCAAAGCAGCAGTGAGATTTTGGGCTACTGTACGTACATGACAGCTTTATGGCACCTTTAGCAAAATAATTGGTAATGCATTAGCAAAAACCCAAGAACAAGGTCTGCTTCTGATGGCACCAAGCAAAATAAAATCCTTGTTGGTCCTATTCTTGTTTGTGTTAGCAGCAAGAATTAATTTGAAATGTAAGGGAATGATCAATTCATTGACAAGCCAGCATTCTGCTTTATAATACATAACACCAAGAATATTTTTCCTTCAGCGTTAATGGGAGATATCTAAAATACCCGTGAGATAAATTAATTAAGCAATGCCAATGCTACTTCAGCTTCTAAGTTACTTTGGACAATACACAATATTACACTGTCAGAGTAGGGTTTTGAGGTTAAATCCATTCTTGATGTGCGTCCTTGCTAGACATGGTCTCTGATGTGCCTACATGTTCATTTTTAACATCTTTGCCAATGGGAAAGGCTGCGTTTTCTAACTTGCATTTAAATCCAGTCCTGTTGAAAAATTTATGTTTGACCTCCGAGTCTTTATGTTACCATGTTATACCCTACGGCCATTCGCATACAGTGTGTAACGTGCAGATAAACAGAAGTTACTGAACTGTTTATACACAATGCCTTGGGAACGCTAACAAAAAAAGAGATATGGTTAACACAGATTTCCTCAGGGACCACAGGAAGGCTGCAAAGGCAGGATGTGGCTTTATTTGAATGGAAGATGGGTGAGAATTTGATTATTTCTTTTTTGTATTCTAGGCAGATCTAAAGAGCAATATGTCACTACTTGAATTATTAAACTTGGAAGAAAGCACTAATTGGTGAACGTGATATCACTTATGAAGTTCCAAATACAAAACAGACATTTTAGCTGTTAGAAAAATGTAGGAAATGAGCTTGAACCATAATCTAAATACAGTACAAACCTATACATTTGTATAAATATTTTCAGAACATGCTGTAAATATAAAGGGTTCTTGTTTATATGGTTGCTTGATTGAAGCGTAGTTTGTTTATAATTGAACTACTTCCTACCAATTTATTTCAACGAGCAAAAAAATGAACATGTTAACATTATACCCCACAGGGTTTTTTTTGCATTGCAGTGGGAATGTGAGAAAAAAGAAACGTTGTAACTGTATATTTTACCATGTGAAAGTATTTCTGAGATAGGTAAGAGGTGTCTATTATTTACCATCAAGTGGAAGGGAACTTACCTGAGCACATCAGGAAGAAGTGTGTGAGCTGCATGAAAGTGTTGTGTACAGTGTCACCCAGCTGTATTGTGGTGCACACAGCACTCCTGGATGCACAGGGCTCTGAGGACATCAGGAAATAAGGAAGTTCACCTAAAACACGAAGATATTGTGCTTTTAAGACACAAATGATGTCCCTGTGTAATTTTCTAGTGCTAAAGAACATCAGTACTTTTACTGCAATGAAAATTGTAGCCTTATCAGTAAGGTGCAATACTTATGAAGGGCTAAACTGTGGAAACAAGTGGTGTGTGGATACATCACTGCCAAACGTGCACTCTCGTAAAACTAG